CTCTCTCTCTCTCTCTCTCTCTCTCTCTCTCTCTCTCGCGCGCGCGCGCGCGCGCGCGCGCACGCGCGCAAAACCCCATCACATCAATGTGGGGGAATGAAGATTAGCCCTTCGTTCGTTGTTCGACAGCCATTGAATGACGATCCAACATGGCACCGCCCAATCATGCCTTCTTCGAAACCGATTTTTTTTAAAAGGAAAAAAAAAAAGAAAAAAAAAAAGGGAGAAACAAAGCAAATCCCCATCGCATATTGCGGGGGAATGGAGATCAGCCCTTCGTTCGTTGTTCGGCAGCCATTGATCGATGATCCTGCATGGCATCGCCCCATCATGCCCTCTTCGAACTCGAACTTTTTTGAAAAGGGAAAAAGAAAAACCGAAAAAAAAAAGAGAAACAAAGCAAATCTCCATCGCATCAATGTGGGGGAATGGAGATCAGCCCTTCGTTCGTTGTTCGCCAGCCATTGATCGTTCATCCTACGTGGCATCGCCCCATCATGCCCTCTTTGAAATCGAACTTTTTTTCCAAAGAAAAGGGGAAAAAAAAAAGAAAAAAAAAAAGAGAAAACAGCAAACCCCCATCGCATCAATGTGGGGGAATGGAGATCAGCCCTTCGTTCGTTGTTCGACAGCCATTGATCGTTCATCCTACATGGCATCGTCCCATCATGCCCTCTTCGAAATCGAGCTTTTTCTCTAGAAGAAAAGAAAAAAAAAAAAGGAAAAAAAAAAAAGAGAAAACAGCAAATCCCCATCGCATCAATGTGGGGGAATGAAGATCAGACTTTCGTTCGTTTTTCCATAACCATTGACCGACGATCCAACATGGCATCGCCCTATCATGCCCTCTTCGAAACCGAACTTTTTTAAAAGAGAAAAAAAAAACGAGAAAAAAAAAAGAAACAAAGCAAATCCCCATCGCATCAATGTGGGGGAATGGAGATCAACCCTTTGTTTGTTGTTCGACAGCCATTGATCGTTCATCCTACATGGCATCGCCCCATCTTGCTCTCTTCGAAATCGAGTTTTTTCTCCAAACGAAAAGAAAGAACAAAAACAAAGGAAAAAAAAAAAAAGAGAAAACAGCAAATCCCCATCGCATCAATGTGGGGGAATGAAGATCAGCCCTTAGTTCGTTGTTCGAGAGCCATTGATCGATGATCCTATAGGGCATGGCCCCATCATGCCCTCTTCGAACGCGAACTTTTTTTAAAAGGGAAAAAAAAAAACGAAAAAAAAAAAAAAAAAAAAAAACAAGAAATCCCCATCGCATGTTGTGGGGGAATGGAGATCAGCCTTTCGTTCGTTTTTCCACAACCATTGAGCGACGATCCAACATGCCATCGCCCCATCATGCCCTCTTCGAACCCGAACTTTTTAAGAGGAAAAAAAAAAACGAAAAAAAAAGGAGAAACAAAGCAAATCCCCATCGCATATTGAGGGGGAATGGAGATCAGCCCTTCGTTCGTTGTTCGACAGCCATTGATCGATGATCCTACATGGCATCGCCCCATCATGCCCTCTTCGAATGCGAA